TCAGGCACCGGCGAGCGTACTCAGGAGTGGACTGCCACACGAGCGACGGTGTCCCGTCCTCCCTCCCCCCCCAGGAGTTCCTGGTCTTTCTTTTTCACGTCTATTTTCTCTCTCTCTAGTTTTGGTTTAGAAAGAGGAGACCACAGGGAGATTTCCTGTTCTCCAAGACGCCCACGTCAGTACATAGAAATCTACCTCATACTTCAGCCGCTTCCAGAACCTGCTTATGGACGTGCTGAGGAATGCTTAGCCAGCTCCCACTGACAGCACCTCGTTTACTCTTGAAGTGATGGATTCCTTCAGGCTTTGTCCCCGGGCACCTGCAAGGTGGTACTGCTGCAGCGAGCCTTCCTAAGAGCCAAACTCTGGGAGCTTTGTCTTAACTTGGGGCATTGCAGCCAACAGTACGCAGGTGTCCACTCTTCTCACTGACCCTAATACTTCATAAAAATCATCTGCCCACCTGCTGGGCAAAAATAAAATAATTTGTGTTCCAGAGTTGAGGGTTTATTTGCTTTAGACAAATGCTACGCTTGCTAAAGGCTGATTGGGGGAAAAGCCGAATGCTTGAGTGGACACACAAATGCTGGGCCCTGTTTAGCGGNCTCAGTGTGAAGGTCGCAAAACCTCAGCTGCTCTGCTTTGGGCCAGGTGAGGCCACAGAACACCCTGCAAGTCAGCACACATCTGAGACCTTGCTTGTTCTTGACCCTGGGCTGGTGTCAAACTGCTGGAGCCAGCACGGTACGTGAACTCCAATCCTCAACCCCAGCAAAACTATGGAAGGACCAGTACGGACAGTCGTCCACACGGGCTGGAACGAGTCCAAGCTCTCAGGCCAGGTGGAAATGGGATTGAGGAACCTGGGCTCTGCCAGCCAGGCCATGGTTTCTGAAAAGCAGAGGTGTCCACTAAGATGACCCACACAGAACTTAGCAGAAACATCAGAGACTACTTCCCATAGATGGTTGCACCAGCACCCCAGCAGCAGCATTCCCATACAGTGCTGGCGCTGGGGGGTTCTGATCCGGGCCCACCCTGTCCTCCTCATCCTCCTGCTAGGACGGCCAGCACCCACCAGCAGACCCTGTCCAGGCAGGGGCCACAGCCCCGCCACTGTGCTGCCCCAGCCTGACCTGGCTGCTCATGTTGTTTAGGTTATGAGGGAAAATCTCTTACTATCGTGCAGAAGGAAAAGTCCACAAGGTCATAACCCACAATCAGCTGCAGGTAAGGCACTGACATCTCACGTTCCAATGCCGGCTCCCTCAGCCTGGCCTCCCCACACAACCCACAGGAGGCTCTGCAGCAAGTTGGCTGGCCTATGTGTGATGTTACTCCAGGAAGGCGGCTTCTTCACCGTAGCTGGAAGAGGGCAGCCCTCCACACCTGAAACCTGTGGTTCCAGGCCCACTGAGCACCCTCCTGGATGGAGACAGGAGGATGGCTCCACGCCAGACACAGTGAGGGGGCCGTGCACATCATGTGATGTGATGTGACATGGCCCTTGCTGAGGAGAGCAACGCCTGGTTCACTCAAATCTCCACACTTGGACACTCTTCAACTGTTTATTCCATAATCAGTTACTTAAGCAGATCGGAAACCCAACGTATATAGAGTGGAGGCAAAAAAATACACTAACTCAACATACCTATCCAGTTATCCACCTGGATAGGTAGGTACACAGGGACAACACAGCACACAGTAAGATGAAGTCAACCTAATGTGCAGGAGCTTGACAACACTGAGGGCTGGCAGGTCATCATCATGTTAACAATCCAAGTGCTTCGTGGAACCACCTCCAGGCCTCTTCCGGCGTCCCGTCCCTCAGGATGAATGCTGTATGGAGTTACGGGATTCTGCATTTCTGGTTGTTTGCCGGCCCTTTAACTGGATAAATGCTTTCTCCTTTCTCGTTAAGGCGAGCTCACAGCAACAGTCCAGTGCAGGGCTGGAGGAGCCAGGCCCACTTGCAGGAAAGAAGTAAATCCCAGCTGAGGTGAAGATGACGGGGAAGGTTCGGGGGAGGCTGGACCAGCAGATAGCGGTCTCACTGCTTCAAGGTCAGCAGGGGCCTCATCTCCCCTACTTCCACCCTGGTGGTACTGAGGAGCAGCGGAGGGACCCCTGACAACCACAGCTGTGTGGCAGCCCCCTGGGTTCTCCACTCTGATATTCTCAGGCCATTCCCCCTGCCTGAGGTGAGTCTAACTCAAAGACTGATTGTACAAGTTCAAGTCGGAGCGTAAGTCGCCAGTGACCACAGGGTCCCAAGCTGAGGAGTGTGGTCCTGGAAGGGTGGCAGCTACTGCACTTTGGTGACCGTGAGGAACATGGCCCACTGTTGCCGTAACTTACTATTTTTTCCCCAAGAAAAGCTGGAAATCCAGATTTGTACATGAGGATCCTGGTTCCAAAAGGGTAGGAGTTTATTCACATTCTGGCAAAAACATTTAGAGTAATGTAAATGGGTAAAAATAAGAGCCAAACTGGGCAGGGAAGCCACAACTATGTACTGCCTGCCCCGACAACCCCAGAAACCAGCAGGTGTCTGCAGGCACAGAAACCCAGCCCTTGCCTCCCACCTTGATTTTTACATCAAATGATCCAAGGCTTGTCAATCAAAACCTCTGGGGGTCTTAGCTATTCATAGGACACTTTTTGGATTTTTCTTAAACCTAAAAGACAGTAGTCTGTCTCTGTTCTCATTCTTTGGGATTCACCCCCTCACCCCCCAATCTTAGGATACAGGATAGATTGGGGAAGTCCCTCTCTCATGGTAAAACACTCAAATCCCACACATATGATGAAGATAGCACCACATGAAACTGTGTGAGGGGCCTCCAGTACGCAGGCGGTAGCAGAGAACTCAAAAACCAAAGTAACCCGTTCACTTGTTTGCTTTCCACAGTCCGAGTGGTTCCCTCCCATACACAGCAGCCCTGGCCCCACGAGGGGAGCAGCTGGACAGGCCCTGCCCTGCCTTCTTTCACCACTTGATGTCTAGGCTGTGTGTGCAGTGCTCCGGGCTCTGGTAGGTGGTGTGCAGCGCTTCCTGGGCCTTGGGGGAATCAGTCCCCTCCAGCCACTCCTGGTACAGCTCTTGCATGTGCGCGCTGGTCTCTGGGGGCCGCAGGCTGTGTGTGCAGTGCTCCGGGCTCTGGTAGGTGGTGTGCAGCGCTTCCTGGGCCTTGGGGGAGTCAGTCCCCTCCAGCCACTCCTGGTACAGCTCTTGCATGTGCGCGCTGGTCTCTGGGGGCCGCACGGGGATGTCGGAGTAGATGCCTTCCATCTGCCGCAGCAGGGACTTGTCTGCGTGTCCGTCTGCAGTCTGGGCTTGGCCTCTGCCATTTAAGCACCCTGAAAGATGAACACGGGTGAGATTATTCTTTCCCTAAGGATAATCAGTCCTAAGGAAGCTTTTGCCTTAGAGGGAAAACAGTTTGGGAGCAGAAGAGGGAGGAAAGGGATGTGCAGTGTCGCGTGGCCTGAGCCTAGAGCCGGGTCCCAATCTGTCTTTCCCGAGGCTGTGAGGGACGCCGGTCCCAGGTCCACAGCCCCGTGTTTCTCTTATTCTTACCCATCCACATTACCAATGAAATGGCTTTGCCTAAAACCAAAGTAAGTTGCCAACCTTTGAGAACACCACGGCTTTGTACGCCAACATGGATTTCCAGCTTCTGTTGGAATTTATCAAAACCAGGAGGGCACAGAAATTGTTGATGTGCTGGGCCCCATCTGGGGGCTGCAGTAGGGGTACCGGCTGAGCCATGTGCCCATCCACCCAAATACTGGTCTGAACGGAAATGTGCCTACTTACTCTCAAGCGCGTTAGATGATGTCATGATTAAGAGCATAAAAATTCACTCGAGGATTTGGAGCAAGCTCCCACCCTGGTGAATCCTCGCCCTCCACTGATGCCAGGGCTGCACCAGCTTTCCCAGGATGGTTAGATGATGTCATGATTAAGAGCATAAAAATTCACTCGAGGATTTGGAGCAAGTTCCCACCCTGGTGAATCCTCGCCCTCCACTGATGCCAGGGCTGCACCAGCTTTCCCAGGATGCTTGCTCTTGCTCTCCTCAGGCCTCCAGCTCCACCCACAGGCGTACAGGGGGCATGATGCACCCCTCCTGGCAGCTCCTCAGCCTGGCCCATGCTTGCCTCTGCCCTCACCCCCTCTTCTCAGTGCCGGCTGGGGTCTCCCCACCTCCTGGACCCTTCCTCTTCCACAACAGGGCATAAACGGACCACCATGGGTCAGGGCTCCCCTTCTTCCCTGATACCCATACCTACTCTACTCCATCAGCAAGTCATTCCAGGGGACCCCCACCCCCTTCTTGGCTCTAGCCTCCTGTCACTATCTCCTTATTTGCCCCTCCCCCAGTCTGGGATACCCTCCCCACTTGCCTGGACTACTGCCACTTACAACGGTCCATCCTCCTCCCTCGCAGCAGGGGCTCCTGAAGCGCAGGTGGGACTGTGCCTTTCCTGCTTCCACCTCTCATGTGGGTCTCTCCTGTCATGCAAGGACAGGACCTGGCTCCTGGCAGGAGGCGGGGCCGTTTCTGCCACCTGGGGCTGGCCTTGGTTCTCGAGGAGCACGAGTCTTAGGTTTAAGGTGTTTCTCCACCCAGCTGCCATGTGACCCACCACGCTCACCTGGCACTGCATGGGGCACCCCCCAAGGGAATTCTAAGGCGATGTCTAACTGGCCACCCTTTCCACACGGCGTGTGTGTGAGGGAAAGAGAGAAACAGACAGGCCTAGGATGCCACATCCTGACCCCTGGGGTGGTATCCATGCTCACAAAGCAGCCAGAGCCGAGTGAGGATCTGGGTGTAAGGAGCCCATGGGAGCCTGTGTGGCCCAGGCCCTGCTCCTCTGCGCCTTACCTCCAGGACACGCAAGGACCTCCACAAAATGGTACGGGAACTTGCCCTTCTTAAGCTTCAGGATCATGTTCTGGATGTTTCGAAATCCGTACGTGGCAGCAAAGCGTAGCAAAACCTCCCCGTTCTTTTCAAGGGTGACCTCTTGGAAGTCTTTGTTTCTATAAAATGAACAAAGTGGACTCTGATCTATTAAGTCCTTTATCTGTAACTCCCTAAGCTTGGAAAGTCAGCAAAATCAAGTCTGAATAAACTCAAAAACCACCTCTCAGTCTTGACTGGTGTGAACTCTACACACAGAACAGCTACATGCACGCATGCCTCACACATACTGGCCTGGGCGACCACCTCCGCCCCTCTCACCTCAGAGACCGGTAGGTGACTTCCCCCACATCTTCATTGAACAGCTCCTTGGCCGCGTGTCTGAAGACGTGCGCCAGGTGCCCATCGGAGCCCCTGCCTTCGTGGCGCCTCACCTCCTCCTCCTTCAAGTCTCCAAACCTGGGCAGGCAGAGAAAAGACAAGTCCCTTATTAATGCTGATGAGAAGCAGTGGCAAGAGTTAGATCAGACTTCCAAAGGGCATTATGATCCCAGGTTGCCACTTAAAAATTTAAGTCCTTTACAAATATTTAAGCTCTGGGGAAAATCTTTTTATTGAGTTTTAACAATCAACACCATGCTTGGTGCTGGTTCATCTGTTTACTTCTCTTCTCCAGGTGCTTGTGTATCCTGGGGGGATGAGAAGTGAGAATCTGAGGCTAACACAGGAGAGCTACTACCTGAACCAGGCCAGCACAAGGACATAAGCGCTGGCCACGGGCACCTGAATTGCTTCAGTTCTGTGAACGTCAGTCCCATCTTCCATGGAGGAGCACACACGCAGCACCCAAGTCAAGGAGCTGCAGGGAGGACACGTGCAGCTGGCCTTTGGAGCCCTCTCTGCCCAGTGCCCAGGGTGCAGCAAGAGCTGCAGTCCTTGCGGCATCTAGGTCCCCGTCCACGGCAGAATCCCAGCCGGCTGCTCCGGGTGCAAAGGGGCCCAAGGGAGCTGCTGCATTTCCTGAGCAGTGATGCAGAATGCCGGGAACACACAACGCTCACAAGAGAGGGTGCTTGTGCATGAATGCATGGCCCTGCCCCAGCGGGAACACGGCTGTTTGTGCTTCTCCTCCTTCCTTGAGAGGTCAGGGTGGCTGTCACACCCTGGAAGCCCATCGAGCCCCCTGACTCCCTGGCAGCCCTGGTTAATGGTGCCCCAGTCCAGGGTACTATCCTCATCCAATTCAAAACCCAGAGAGTTGGCTGAGGGTTGGTGGGGCTGGGGGCTGGGGATGTGGCCTCATCATCAAGTGGAGCAGCCCTGGGACTGGTAGAGTGGCCAGCAGAGCTCACAGGACACCCACCCACTAGGGGACCCAGCCCACAGAGGCCACTTACAGAGTGTCGACAGTGGCATCTTTCACTGAGAGGTCACTTTGCTCCATTATCTGAGCGATTTCACCTATAAACGAGAGGCACAAGACGCCATGAAGGACACGGATGGCTCATGCCACCAGAACATCATGATTCCCTCCACCTGCTGTGAGAAATGTAACATTAGTGACCCCAGATGCCCTCCCTGCTATGAAATCTCCATTACAGACAGTAGGAACCCATCTCAAGGGCAAAGTAATGCTAACAAAATGTAAGAAGAGTCTAGTGCCTCTTTCTGCCCTCGACCTGGGGGACTTATCTACATAATCTCTACATATATTTGTTTCCCAAGTGGAAAACTTGCATATAGAAGGTCGCACAGATAGGATGACCAAAAATACACTGGCAACGTTTATAGGGCGTAAGAGATCAACCGGAAATCAAAAGCATTTTCTCTAACTCCTTTTATACGTGGGTTCCTGAAAAAACCCCTTGATAGAGAAACTGAGTCTACAGCAGCGCCCGCGGTGCAGACACCGTGCGGTGGCTGTGAACACTAAGAGGACACGGTTCAAATCCTCACGCATCTCCACTCGGGAAAGACGGCTGGATGTGGTTGTCAAGAGCCGCCATGTGTTTTTATCCTGTCCAGATAAGCAGATGGCCCTGCCCTTCCTCAGGCATTGATCCTACTGTACTGCTGAGGTCCCCGGCCCACCCTCTCCTGTCAACCACCAGAAGCAGCCTGGACCTCAGGGGCAGAGACTTCCCTGTGGCAGTCAACATGCTAGAATTTCACTGCCCTCAAAGGCCCTCCCCTAAGAGCCGATCACTCTGCCTAACCTGCCCGATGTAAACACCTGCAGGGGCCTGTTTTCAGAACCCTATTTAAACAGATCTGTCTGGATTTTAACAAAGTCTTAAGCCCCCCACCAACTGATTTCAACATTCTTCTGAGTGGGTTTCCATGATTCCAGGGAATGACTTCAAGCCTCAACACACAGAGGACCCACTGTGCAGGCTCTTAACATAACATCTGAAAAGTGACACCAATGAGGTGGTTGCCTGCAATGTCACTGGAACAAACGTGTATTTTCCACTTTACTCTAAATGAGAAAAGCTTCACTTGAGTCCTAAGTGCAGACTTGGTTTGTAAGGAGACCTTCTATAGTTACATGTGACTTTTCCTACTGAGAGATAAGTATGCCAAGTGGGCTGTAATATAAAATTACATTCTCCAGAGACCTGACTTATCTGGAGGAAGACACAGAGAGGAGATGGGACACTGGATTCACTTTCATGAAGTTATACCCCAAGGACCATCAGCTGTCAGTAACCTCAGATGGTGACCACAGGGAGAGGTGCTGAGATGGCTTGGTCATGCAGAGCTGCCCAGAACCTTGTGTGCACCAGCCAGCTGGAGACCACCCCCTGCCCCCCACCCCAGTGCCCAGGCAGCTGTGCCCACCTCACCTGACGTTAACACACAATCAGCACCCCGGGAACCAGGCAGAGCAGTGGAAAAACCTTCTCGAAGAGCCTCCAGCTTCTTGTCATAGCAAGGGGCCACAATGACATGGAAAATCTTCTCTGGAGACAGGTTCTGTGGAGGAAGAGCACTCTATATTCAGGGCTGGTGGAGAGGTGATGACAGCATCTTACGGCTAGTGCCGAGAGCACCCCCTCCTCAGCTCCACTCAGCCCCAGCACCAGGCCCATATACATCTGCTGCCTCACTCTGGACAGAGTTGGATTCTCCTAAAGAATCTACAAGGCCCGGCAGCCCAAGGAGCCTCCTTGGCAGAACCAGGAAAGCTGAGCCTGTTTCCTCATGAACCTGTGCACAGGGGAATAAACCAGGTAAGAGCAAGGCTGCTGCGGCACTGTCACCGGGGCCCAGGTGAGGGTCTGCGCTCTGACTAGTTTACTGCAGACTTTCCTGAAGCTTCCTTCACAGCCCACCCCTCTGCTGGGCCCTTGCCACATGGAGCACATGCTTGCGGCTGAGCTGAAACTGGGGCAAAGCCGGGAAAACTGGCAGTGGCCGAGTGACCCTCCCAGTGAGGTCTGGGTGGAAGGGCCCTGCTAAGGCTTGAGAATGTCCCGCAGAATTCATTTGTTGGAAATTTGGTCCTCACTGCAGCAGTGTTGAGAGGTAGGACCTCCGGAAGGTGATTGGGCCCTGAGGGCTCTACCTTCATGAATATAATCCATTCATGGATGAAGGGATTAAGGGGTTATCATGGGAATGGGTTAGTTACCATGACAGTGGGTCTGTGATAAAAGCCAGCTTGGCTCTCAGCACGTCCCTCTCTTGCCCTGGGATGCCTCCTGCCTTGTCATGACACAGCACGAGGCCCTCACCAGAGCCAAACCACATGTGGCCCCTTGACCTTGGATTTTTCAGCTTCCAGAATTTTAAGAAATAAATTTCTTTTTTCTTTATAAATTACCCAGTCTCAGGTATTCAGTTATGGCAACAGAAAACCAACCAAGACAGACCCTACTCAGGGTAGGGGCAGAGCCAAAGAAGAAAGCTGCCCTGCCAGGGGCTCAGAAAAGGTGGCCAGAGGCCAGGTCTCTGTACTTGGCCATCCCCCGGCAGCACCTGCAGGAGGGCCTGAAGCTTCAGCTCGAGCCAGGCTAGGGCAGGGATGGCAGCATTTAGAAGACCGAGGAAAACCTGGGCTTCCCCCAAGATGGGGGTAGGGCAAAGGGAAGGTATAAAGTTCCATAGTTCATTTTTTTTCCCCCTCAAACACACACCTGATATCACATTTATGATTTGCCAACTGTGGTGATTTTATGATCAAACCAGATAAAAAGAAGCATTTCCCGTAGCTAAAACAACAGGACGGGCAGGTGTGTTGCTCTTTAGGATGGCTTCATGTGTCTGAAAGATTCCTACTTTTGCCACCTTCTCTAGTTACACCACAGTGCCTGAACATGTTTGTTCCCCTGGGGGAACTTAAAATCTGACTGAGAAGGACAGTGTATGGAGTCCCAGCAGCTGGAGAATGAACTGCTGGAATGAGAGCCCCTCTGTGGGTGGCTTCTGAGACATCAGGAAGTTCCAGGATGACTCTGGCTTGGACCAAGGGGCTGGCCAGGGCTGAGGCAGGGGCATTCATGAGCCCTAGGCTGGGACTCATTCTGTCATGCGGTGGACAGCGCTGTGACCACTGCACAATCTCACAGAAGCAGCTAAGGTAGTCATGTGATGCCTGTGGTCTGAGGGAAAGGCAGGGGCAGAGGCAAGGTTTGGTTCCCTGAGGGACAGCAGCCTCTGGCACAGATCACATGGGACCTGCCTCAGGGAGGCTGACCCAGCAGCAGGCGGGCAGCACTGCCATGGGTGAGGCCCATGCCTCACTCTCACCAGGGTAGGCAGTGTCTCTACTTGGCCCAGAACGGGCCCAGGCGAAGCACTGGAGGCCACAGAAAAGGCTGAGGAGAAAGGAAGAGATTACAGCAAGAAGAGAGGCACAGAGAAGGACATGAGTGGGAAACAGCACTGCAGACTCATGTTTTGAGGCCACAGCTTCCCCCCTGCTAAGCTGGGGGCCTTGTCCACCCTGGATGCTTCCAGGGGCCTCGCTCTTGGGCCCCCCGTGCCATGCCCTTCCTGCTTGCCCTCAGTTCCAAACACTGGGCGCTTCTTACAGTCCTTGACCAGCCTGCAGGGAGCTTGTCTCCTTCTGCCCCATGTGCTGCCCTCCGGGGAGAGGTTAGCTTACCTGCTGTCTAGCAAAGTAGTCCTTCACCAAAGAGCCCATGACCTGCTGGGGGGACTTGGCAGTGCAGAGGTGGGGGGTGACAGGGCGACCCAGCACCCGCTCAGCATATCGGACCCAGCCTGGGGAGAGAAGGAACTCATGAGGTCTGTGGCCTTCCTGCCATGCCCCGGGGCTCCCAGCTCCTGACCCCCTGCCACCTCTTTTTCATACCTGTCAGGAATTTGCAACAGACTCTCTCCCCCAAACCTCCTCCACCCACAATCTGCCCTCCTTGTCAGCTCAGGCTGTGGGTCCCGGGAATCCGTAGGACTGTAAGGTGCTGGGAAATGGGAGTGACCCGTCAGGCCCCCGGGCAGGAGAGGACCAAAGGGGAAGAGAGGTGAATTGGCGTTGCGGGTCCCCCAAAAGGGTGAAGGAAACAAGCTTCGAGGGGCAGCTGGGAAGCAGCAACCCAGGGCCGCTCAATGCGAAAGCCCCTGCTGGCTGCGGAGTTCTCCCCGGCGGGAGGCAGCCGCTACAAGCTCACCCAACCTCACCGACCTATGGCGAGCTGATAGCCCAACTCATGCTTTTTACAGCAATAAAACAGAAGAAATTCATGCTACCCAGACAACAACGGTAAATAACAAAGTTTGCATTGTGCTCACTATGTGCCTAGCACGAATCTGAGCCCTTCCCCTCTGAGGTGCTGGTTCCTACCAAGAATCTACAAGGCCCGGCAGCCCAAGGAGCCTCCTTGGCAGAACCAGGAAAGCTGAGCCTGTTTCCTCATGAACCTGTGCACAGGGGAATAAACCAGGTAAGAGCAAGGCTGCTGCGGCACTGTCACCGGGGCCCAGGTGAGGGTCTGCGCTCTGACTAGTTTACTGCAGACTTTCCTGAAGCTTCCTTCACAGCCCACCCCTCTGCTGGGCCCTTGCCACATGGAGCACATGCTTGCGGCTGAGCTGAAACTGGGGCAAAGCCGGGAAAACTGGCAGTGGCCGAGTGACCCTCCCAGTGAGGTCTGGGTGGAAGGGCCCTGCTAAGGCTTGAGAATGTCCCGCAGAATTCATTTGTTGGAAATTTGGTCCTCACTGCAGCAGTGTTGAGAGGTAGGACCTCCGGAAGGTGATTGGGCCCTGAGGGCTCTACCTTCATGAATATAATCCATTCATGGATGAAGGGATTAAGGGGTTATCATGGGAATGGGTTAGTTACCATGACAGTGGGTCTGTGATAAAAGCCAGCTTGGCTCTCAGCACGTCCCTCTCTTGCCCTGGGATGCCTCCTGCCTTGTCATGACACAGCACGAGGCCCTCACCAGAGCCAAACCACATGTGGCCCCTTGACCTTGGATTTTTCAGCTTCCAGAATTTTAAGAAATAAATTTCTTTTTTCTTTATAAATTACCCAGTCTCAGGTATTCAGTTATGGCAACAGAAAACCAACCAAGACAGACCCTACTCAGGGTAGGGGCAGAGCCAAAGAAGAAAGCTGCCCTGCCATGGACAAAGATGCTGGGCCTGTGCTGGCCCTGGCCTGTTACTCTCCTGTCATCTTATGGCAGCACAGGCATGACAAGACTGCCTGTTTCCTACCTGGTGGGTGGTGTCGCTTTCCTCTGTCACAAAACCCCACCCTCCTCTCCTCAGAGTGACCATTGATGAAGTCATGAGAGGAACAAAGCGTTCAGAGGGATTGGACTGGCATGAGGCACTCAGCCTCTCTCTGGACGCTGTACGGCAATGGAAGTGATTACCTCACATAATTCTGCTTAACCACAGCTCTTGGCAGGGGCAGGAGACAGCCATGGGATTCTCACAGAGCCCCACAGGCCTGCAAGCACGTCCAGAAGTTGAGCAGCTCAAACACCTCCCTTCCTCTGCCAGGCTTGGGGCAGGGTGGTGGCCCACCAATTGCGGGAACAAGGAGCCCAGAGTCAGATGGCTCTGGAATGTCCATGCTGGGCCAGGCCTGGACACGCCACCCTTCAGCGAATCCTAAGGAAGCAGCTGTGGTGGTGGTGGGTCCTACATACTAACCCCTGCCCTTGCACCTTCCCTGCTCTCCCAGGACATGAGGACCCTTGAGTCAGGAAGCCATTTTCAAGGAGCCAGTATGTGACCATCCAAGGCCCTAATTCAACATGCCAAGTGAAATCAGTTGACCTCAGTTTTGCTTCAATTTCCTTAAATTGTCAATGCAGAATTATAGAAAAGTTTTAGTTTTGAACCGGATCTCAATAAAGCATCTCCCTGAATTTAGAATGTGGTCTAAACAAGTTACAGTTTGACACACTTAGGTATAAAGAGCTTATGGAGAAAAATGCACCATTAATTAGGAAGAACATTCTAGAAGTTCCAAACCTATAAGGTAACAGCCCTGAACAGCTAAACGAGACCGTTAAGTGCAGCAAATCTCAAGCTAAGATAAGTAGCAATGGACTGGTTTGCAGCAGGTGACTGGAGTGGACAAAGGAAGGGTTCTGGGACACACCTCTCCTCAGAAAAAATCTCCCAGGGGTCCCCACCTGGCACTGCCACAGGCAGAAGGCTGGCTAGTTTCCACATAAGCCCACAATCTGCTTACTATCCACATCAGCAGTTAGTTCTTTCCAATGAGTTGAGGGTTTCATTCTAGGCTCCATCCCAATAGGGCCTCCCACGTAAGGAAATTAATAGATATCTGTTGGTTTGCTTTAAGGAAACCACAGGAATTCTAGTTCCACCTTGCTGATGAGAACTATGCACAGAAAGTTTGGAAACCACTGTGCTAGGGTCACGGGTCTTAGTTCTGGATCATTTTATGCTGCCTCTTCCTCGGTGGTGGGGAGGAACCAAGCAAGCGCTGATGAGAACTATGCACAGAAAGTTTGGAAACCACTGTGCTAGGGTCACAGGTCTTAGTTCTGGATCATTTTATGCTGCCTCTTCCTCGGTGGTGGGGAGGAACCAAGCAAGTGAGAAGTGCTAAGAAGCCATGCATGTGGCATCCTATGAGAGGGAGGGGACGAGACCCCTGAGGCAGAGATCACCACACAAACACCAGGGACCTCTGCAGGTCACTTGGACCCCAGGGCTGTGCCCTGAGCCCTCAGCAGTGGAGACTAACACTTCACACCTGCAAAGACACCTAGAATGACCAAAGAGCTGAGTGTGATGCTCACGGCCGAGCAGAAGTCTGTACTAACAATCTAATGACTTATACTTAGATCTCTGAAAGTTGCGCACCACTCTTCTAAGACAAACCACACACCTGAAACATGTCATGACACTCCTGCCCCACCTGAAGCCACGTAGACGGCACCAGGCTGTGAGCCATGGTGCTGGCACAGCTCAGTTGAGTCAGCCAATGCAGCCTCTCAGACAGAAGGTGAGGTCCTTTTTCATGGCTTTATGAACAGGTAGAAAGTATTTCCAAATTCTAAGCAACCATACGTCACATTCTATTTTATTAAATCATAATGCTAATGATTGAAAGTTGACATGTAAAATGCTAGAAAGAAACCACGATGGGGAAGAGAATGAACTGAGAATTGAAATGTGAATAAAACCCTAAAAATTGTCTAGCCTGCAACTAGCTTAGACGGCATAGATCTCCCTATGCCCTCATAGACCAGGTATGTTGAGAATAACTGTTGACCAAATCTTGTTTGCCAGTATAGCAACTCCTTCCTTTCCTTATGTATCATGTTCAAAAATTTCTTAACCCCAAATTTTCATTTTTCCAGAACTGAAAAGCCTGTGATTCATCTTTTCTATATCTCAGGCACCAACACTTTATACTAACACTAATTAAAGAATGTTTAAAAGTGCTCCCTGACAGAATCTGAGTATCGGTGTAAAGAAATTTATTCTATAATTTTTATTTAAGTTGACAAAAGATACATGACTATCATATCTATAACTATTTGGGTGTCTGAAATATGTCATACTATTAAAAAAAGATTTATTTTTTGTAATACAAAATATGTTTGCTTCAGAAACTTTGGAAATATGGATAAATGAGAAAAAGAAATTAACTCTCAGCCGTCAGGTCTCCCTCCAAACTACCTACAGTTAATAAATGCATTGGCCGACACAGAACCATGCATCAGGCCAAACTCCTCCCACCTCGTCTAGGAGCCGAATGGGATGGGCCTGCCTGTCTCCAATCTCATCTGCTACCAAACTCAGATTCTTGTGAAACAGCACCTCTCTGGGGCCCCGGGGCTCACCAGGACAGGCGGAGGTCAGCATGGGCAGCGCGCGCTCCTCCTCGCTGTGCTGGTGATACCGACGCACAAACTCTTTTTGACTCTCCAGGATGCTGAAGTCCGCAGCTATGGTCATATCAAACACATAGCGCACCCCTGCAGGAGAGAGGGGCACGTTCAGCTTCTCACCTTGTGAGATCTACTCCTAGACCCTATGTGCTCCCCATACTCGCTCGTTTTTGCTTTCTCACACCTCAGAGGTAAACGTATAGAACAGATTCTACAGAACTTTCCTGAAATCAATCTTGGGTCTTTCTACTACTAATGGCGTATGCTCAGGACCGTGGGCTTTACTTTTTTATTTTTAACTAAGCATGTAACATTTTATATAGTATATATGTTCTCTCTTGCTTATTCATTCTCTCTACATCTATGTTAATATACTTTATAATACTCCATATATAAATTAATGGAGCATTATAAGGTATTTGCAGCATTCTCTTCCAATTCATTGGCAAATTAAATTTCAGTCTATGATGGTCCTTGGTATTTTTAAATTAAATGAGTACAGTAAAATAGCTGAGCATACCTTTATGATGGTCTTAATTTTATGTTGACTTTTTACTAGCTATCTTTTTCTTGATGTAATTTTCTTAATATTGGTAAATAAGCCTGAGACAAGAATGTACTTTTAATAATTATAATAAAATAAATTAAGCAAACAACTTTAACATCCACACTGGTCTAAATCTTAAAAGCAGTAAGTTATTTTTAAAAATAAACATTATAAATTTTAAGTATTACCCTAAGAAGTCAGTTTCACTGTGGACATGTTTTATTAATATTAATATATAATATGCAATCATACAGTTTAATAAAAGTCTCTCCTCAAAATAGGGCTTTTCACAAGAAAATATAGCACCCAGCTCTGATCTTTGGTAAAACTAAGCTAACCATAGGCTTTTAAAGATTAGAAGCCTGAAGTAATCATATAATAAGATCACACTCGTGGCTAGGGCTTAGTGTTGGTATAACAAGTTATGCACTAAATACCAGGTCTGGAGAAACTGCTACTCACCAAGAGCGCCAAGGAGAAATGAGGCCCAACAAGGCCACAGGCTGCTTCTGAGACCCACATCCCATTCTCACGAGGCTTACTCCAAACCTCATTTTATAATTAATCCCTAATATATTTACATCTTTTTTTTTTTTTTTTTTTTTAAAGATGACCGGTAAGGGGATCTTAACCCTTGACTTGGTGTTGTCAGCACCACGCTCACCCAGTGAGCTAACCGGCCATCCCTATATAGGATCCGAACCCGGGGCCTTGGTGTTATCAGCACCACACTCTCCCAAGTGAGCGACGGGCTGGCCCTATATTTACATCTTTAAAAAGCCGCTGTGCACTAATAAAAGTTCAAGTGCCCAAGGGCTATAAACACTGCTGTGAGCAAATGAGTAGCTTGGCCAAACCAGTCTGACAAAAGCAGAAGATACAGGAGAAGTTTGCATGATATCTCAGGCAGTATTATTCCGGTTTGACATTTGAGTTCTTTGTATTCTTAAATTACAACCTTTCATTTCTCATGTAAAGAACACAAGCCCATTCCCTTCCTGCTGTGCTCTGTAGAGAGGTTCTTGGGAAACCTAATGCTAATAATTTCAGATGTGATTATCAAATAAATGCCCTCCACGAACTGGGGGTGACTTGGAGGCTATCTGCCCAGTGCGGGAACCTCCCAGGTGTCACTGTCCACACCATCAGCAGGTGATCACTGCTGCTCCAGGAGGGGCCAGCCCCCACTGTAACAAAATACCCATCTGTGCACAGCAAGGGGGTGACACCCGCCTACCATCAATCAGAGGCTGGGTTTCATGAAACATGGGGACCTTTTATGTTCCACAAGGCTCTCATGGAAGTTTTCTTACCTACCCTGTGCGTTTGTTAATTGAACCTTAGAGATAAAAGGGGCACTTACAAGCTCAAGTTATACACTTACAACTTATCAAAAGGGAACTCACCAAGACTTTTGAGGAAGCCACAGAGCCTTCTGGATGCATCAGTTACACTGAGGTCGAATTTAGCAGCAAAATAAGGCAAAGACTGAGGACACACAGACACTACCAGCACTTTGTGCTTTGAGGTATCACATTTCTAGAAGGAGAAAGAGAATGTCATGTATGTGAAGACACCCTGATGAGAAATTCAGCACAATGTAGCAGATGTTCTAGGCAAAGACTGATAAAATAGACAAACACTGTTAAACGTTTAAGGAAAAAAGAAGGGGCAGGCCGGTTAGCTCTGTTGGTTAGAGCACCAAGGTCACGGGTTCCGATCCCCACACAGGCCAGCCGCCAAAAAAAAGAGGAGAAAAAAGTCAGGATTAAAAAATGAGATAACTGTAGGCATAACATTGTTCTTAAAAATGACAGTTTCTTGTATCAATAAGTGTGAACATCTGGAGGAAATGGGTGATTTTAAAGGAAAAATGTAAGTCACAACATTGGTCCATAAATAACTGAAAGGACACAATGACAATAAAAAGAGATACACATGCTGAAAAGGTGTCCAGAGATCTGTCCCCTATACTAAAAGTCATCAAGCCCAGGCATTTAGTGGCAAATTCTAAAGGAGGGAGTAATTCTCATCTTCTACAAACCGTTCTAAAAACTGCTGTATGAGTATAAACAAGCATAAAACTACACAGCTATCAACACTATGAAACCAAAACTAGATGTTAGCAGTTCAAGAGAAGACAGGTTAAAAGATAAGAGTCACAGACTCACATCAACAGGAATTTGGTTTATTCATTTCAGATCAATGAAGAAAGAAGATGTTGGAAAAATTGGCTTTTCAAATGGAAAAAATTGGATTAAATCTTACATTATATTAAAATACAAACAGTAGATCGGACAGACAGCACAAGATAAAATAGAAATTGTCAATAAACATATCAATGATCTCCAGCCTAATAACCAGGAAAATGCAAATGAGATATAATTTTCGTGAATTTGATATCATATGGTCAGGATAGCTGGACAAAACTATTTGCCTATATCACTTGTAGGAGTAAAAAGTGATACAGACACTTTTAAAGGCATTTTGGCATAAACTATTGATATTAGAACATTAAAAGTCTTCAGTAGTTCTGTGTGCACCAGGGGAAACTAAGCCATATCGTAGTCAAGCTGTGTCTGTTCAACATAATAAAATGGCTTAAGGCCATTCTGTTCCCTGAAAGGACTTGAGCAAGCAGGCGGCTGGGGGGCAGGGGGGAATGTGCATAGTGAACGTGGCAACAGCACGGGGATGTTGTCTCCTTGTTCAGACCACCCTAACCAGGCAGCCAGCTGCTTGCTCATGGACCTCCCAGGTACCCATACACTAGAAAGGGCACACCCAGATACAACTAATGCTGACAACAGAAAAACTTTTTTTTTTTAAACCATTGATTGCATATTTTTAAAATTAACTTTTTATTGAAACATTGACTGTAAGGGGCAGGCCGTGGCTCACTTGGGAGAGTGTGGTGCTGATAACACCAAGGCCATGGGTTCGGATCCCTATATATGGATGGCCGGTTCGCTCACTTGGGAGAGCGTGGTGCTGACAACACCAAGTCAAGGGTTAAGATCCCCTTACCAGTCATCTTTTTTTTTTTTCCTTTTTGTCTTTTTTCGTGACCGGCAACGGATCGCAACCCTCAGTGTTGCGCCCGTACCGGACCTGGACCGACAACGGTATCGCAACCCTCGGTGTTGCGCCCGCACCTTGCTCAGCCAGTGAGCGGGAACTGGTCTGTACGTGGGATCCAAACCCTCGGTGGGAGCGCCGCCACGCTCCCAATCGGCACACTGTAGCAGTGCGCCACCGGGCCGGCCCAGTCATCTTTTAAAACAAAACAAAACATTGATTGTACATATTTATGGGGTAGTTATACTTCAAAACATGTATATAGTGTATGATGATCTAATCAAGGTAATTAGGTTCATCACTGTACAACTTAAATCATATTTTGTAATGCACAAATTTGGTCTCCTGTCTTCTAGTCATCTGATAAAATGCATTAAATCGTTAGTTGTAGATTGCTGGGTTGACTATATGCCAACAGAACTTGTTTACTCTATCTACCTGTAATTTGTGTCTATTAACCAGACTCTCACCCTCTCCCCTCCCCCCACCCCTTTCCTACCTCTAATAACCAGTTGCTGTCTTTCCTCTTAACAGTTCAGCTTATTGTTTTAGCTCCTCATATGAGTGGAACATGTGGTATTTCTTTCTGCACCTGGTTTATTTCACTTAACATAGTTTTCTCCAAACTCATGTTGCTGCGAATGGCAGAATTTCATTCTTTTTTATGGCAGAGTACAATTTCATTGTGCAAATGTACATTTTTCTTATCCAATCATCCAGTGATGGATATTTAAGTTGGTTCCAACTCCTAACTATTGTCAACAGAGCTGTGATAACCATGCAAGTGCCAGTATCCCTTTGACATGATGTTTTCCATTCCTTTGGGTATATATCCAAGTAGTGGGATTGCTGGATCTTCTAGTTTCTATTTGTAGTTGTTTGAGAAACCTCCATACTGTTTCCATAACGGCTGCACTAATTTACAGTCCTACCAACACTATAAGAGGGTTCCTCTTTCTCTGCACCTTCACCAGCATGTTATTCTGTATTTTTTATACTGGCCAGTCTAACTGGGGTGAGATATCTCAACGTGGTTTTGATTTGCTTTTCCCTGATTAGTGATGTTGAGCATTTTTTCCATATACTAGTTGGTCATTTGTATGTCTTCTTTTGAGAACTATCTAGTCAGCTCCCTTGTCCATTTTTTAATTGGGTTATTTGTTTTTTAATTATTGAGTTGAATTCCTTGTATACTCTGGATATTAGTCCCTTTGTCAGATGCATAGTTTGCAAATATTTTCTCTCATTCTGCAGGTTGTCTCTTTGGTCTGTTTACTGTTTTCTTTGCTGTGCAGAAGGTTTTAAGTCTGATAAAAATCTCGTGTTTATTTTTGCTTTTGTTGCCTGTATTTGTGGAGTATTATTCATAAGATCTTTACCCAGTCCTGTCTTGGAGCATTTCCCTTGTGTTTTCTTCTAGCTGTTTTATAGCATCAGGTCTTACATTTAAGTCTTTAATTCATTTGAGTTGGCTTTTGTATATGGTGAGAGACAGGGGTCTAGTTTCATTCTTCTACACATGGATATCTAGTTGTGCCAGCACCACTTATTAAAGAGGCTGCCATTTCCCCAACGTATGTTTTTGACGCCTTTGTTATAGATCTGTTAGCTTAAGTACCCGGATTTATTTCAAGACACATATTTCTATCTGAAGTTGTGACTTAAAAAATGCTGGATGACTTGTCCAGGAAGATGACAAGGGGGTGGGTGGCAAACAACAAGAAGGGGCTTGCCTCTGGGCTTTGTGCTCTGTGCTGTGACACATTAAACCAGTGTTTCTCAAGGATCCCACCTTACTCAGCACATCAACTATTGCAAAATGAGGGACTAATCTACTCTGCTGTGTGGGTCAGGGAAATGCTGCCCTGGGCACAGTGGGACACCCGTTTAAGGGCATATGAACATGCCAAGGGAGTGCATAGTGAGCCAAGGAGTGCTTTTCAGCCTCACCTGCCTTCATCTTTCTTTTCTTTCCCTTTGAGCTGTCTTAGTGAAAGACAAGCAACAATGGGTAGTTCTGTATAGGAGGTCTAGTAGGGACATACTGAAGGAGGGAGATTTGGGAATATTCTTCCTTGAAGAGTCTTAGCCTTGCCCCAGTCTGATGAGTCCATTAGAACATAACCTGTCTCTGAAAACATACTCCTGAAGCAGAACAGCATCAGCTCAGGCACCGTGCCATGCACATGATCTCACCAGGCTGAGGTCTCCCCTTATGCCAGAGGAGCCCGATGGGTGGTGCCAGCCACCACCCCTGCCCAAGAGTCAGTGATGGAGCCTGACTGTGCAGAGATGCCGTTCTTAATGGAGGGGCCTGGGTAAGACTGACTACAGCAGGGGACACCAGCGACATGGGTAAAAGGCTCAGGTACACATCTGGTGTTCCAGCAGAGGCTTCCCCTCGACCTCCACCTCCCCACCATGACTCCCAGCCACATCAGCAAGTGCCCCAGATGCCATACCTTATTAAGGTTCAGAACATGGAAGAAGTTCTTGGCATTCTGCTGGGAAAGCTGGACTCCTTCCTCTGCAGTCACGCAGCTGTCGCATGCCAGGCAATCGCTCAGAAATATCTTGGCATCAGCCAACTTATGGAATTCTCCCTTCTACGAAAGAAAGATGATGTTCTGGCATGCTTCTTTAGGGAGGGTAATAGCCTAAGCACAATATACAGAACTCACACTAAACCCTGGAGAGAACACTAGAGGCCAGGCCTGGTGCTCCAGGGGCTGGGAGGGGGACAGTCTCTGCCTCTGAGCAGCTCAAGGTGGTGAAGGAACACAGGGCGTAGGGCACGGGGCACAGGACCCAGCCCATGAGGACACTAGGGACTTATGCAGATACCATCAAGGGTAAAACCCGCCCCAGCATTTCTCATATGTAGGAAGGAAACATTCCTGTGTTCCGGGAGCTGACCTGACCGGCCCTTCCCCTCCTCCTGTACCCTGCTTCCTCTTCAGTGTCTATGACCCAGCTTCTGGATTCTCTCCCTGGTTTGGCCTCTGACAGCTCCCGGAGCTCATAGGTCCTGCAGATCCCCATGGGTGCCCACAGGCCTGGTCTCTCCCAAGGGTCAAATTTGCATAGCTCACTGCTGGCTCTGGATTTCCACTTGCATGTGAACAGGCTCCTCAAATCACCCAAGGCTGAACTCTGGATTCTCAAACCTGCTCCTGCCCCACCCCCATCAGTAAAGAGTGACACTGCTCACCTGGACGCTGAAACTACAGCACCTCGGTGTCCACCCCCCACATCCTCTCTTTCCTGGCTGGCTTGTGTCCCACCCTGGCCCTCTGCAGCCCCCACAAAAGTCCGCTGAAACGTAAGCCACCCCCCTACTCTACCTGAAGCCCTCAACAGCAGCCCCTCACGTGGGGGTCCTCAATACAGCTAGTGGCCCTTGTCTGCCCTGGTCCTCCATCACCTCTCCTCTTGGCTTTCATGTCCAGCCACACTGGCTCTTGCTGTTCTTGCCATCCCCATGGGAAGTACTCCCTGAGAGCCCTGGACTCATCCAAGTAGCCCTCATCAGAGAGGATGTCCAGACACCTGCCCAAACTGTACTGCCCTTTGCCTGTCTCTTTCCTCCCCACCCATTTGTTTTCATAGCACTGGACTACCACCCTGTGTTTATCTCTCCTTGGTTAGCTCTGTGAGAGTACAAACTGTCATGTTCCCATCTGTTCCGGCATCTGTAAGAGGTACCACATGCAGAAGGTGCTCAATATATTCCATATTCCAAAGTTTACTGGAGTCATTTCAGCAAGTTACAAAAAAGCTCCTCAGGTAGTCTGTGCACTTGTTTTTCTTTAAAACATGATTTGACAGGAGACAGCTCTGGCTGTGCCCCCTCCACCCATAGCACACTCTGAAGGGGAGCTCAGGCCATCACCTTTGCCTCCTCCCCAGACAGGACCAAATGTTCCTGTGCAGCCTGCTCACCCTGGGATCTTGTTTCATTGCAGATGAGGACTTAGGAGGTCCACATGGGGCCCAAGAGTTTGCACTTCTAACAAGCTCCCAGGGGGGCTGGAGCTGCCACTCTGCTCCAAGGATCTGGTTCCTTAATAGATACTGTGGAGCTGCACTGAGAAGTCCACCTGCACTGCCCCCACAGACCATCCCCATCAAGGTGCAGACAACCACACTGTATTACCTCACCCAGCAGTGTCTCCTCCCAGGCATGCTGCACACAACCAGTACTCCTGCAAGTTTTCACAGTCCAGGTCTGTCTTGGTTCCTTTAACAACTCTCATGTTCTTTCCTTTCTCCTCCTGCCTCTCAAACTCATGCATTCTGCAGAAGCCCTCTTCCCTTTCATCTGGCCCATCTGCCTCACTATTCCCAGAGAAGTGCCTGCCAGTCCCTACTATCTCCACCTCCAGTGGAGCACTCTCTCTCCCAAGCTGCAGACTGACATCCTACCGAAAGCCCAGTGTCCACGGAGCTAAAACTGTGCTTACCTCCTTGTGTAATACCTTTTTTTCTGCCTCTATCACTCCGGCTGGCTCATCCAGGGCGTTACCCAATGCCCAGGCTCTCAAAGCTGCCTCCTAAGTGGCTTCCTTCGATTGGCCACCTGTTCCAGACAGTTTAAGCCTGTTGCCTCAGTGCCCTGCTCTAGAACACACACTTGAGTCTTTCTTCTCACTCAAAAAACTTCCACAGCTCTTCACTGCCATCGACCTGGTGAAGCGGAGCCACTGCCCCTCCCCAAACCATGCCTGTCCACACCCTCCTTGTGCATGGTATATACCACTGCCCCATCCTGAATTCTCACCAACTTTCATGGCCCACTCCACTAACCCTTTCCAAGCCCTTCTCATCCTAACACTGAGCTGGCAGGGTGCCCACCTAGGCTGTGTACACACATTATCTCATCCTCACCAGAGCCCTGGGAGGGAAGTAACCCAACTCCCCATGCCACTGATAAGGAAACAGGGGCCCACAGGAGTCAGATATCTGTCCAAGGTGATGCTACCAGAGGGCAGGCGTGGGAGGGGTCAGGGCCTGACTGCTCCAGAGCACTGTCCCCGAATGGCCCCAGGGCTCCCTGTCTCTCTTCTGCCTTTTGGTCGGCTCTCGGGGTGCTTGTCTTATGCCTGCTGCTCCTTAAACCCTACAGCATAGCACTGGCACAGAGGGAGAATCAAATAAAGGCCTGTCAGATTAAATATCATATTAGAACTAGTAAACTTTAAAAAAAATTACTAGCTTTCCCTGTGTTGCCAGCTCTCCATTCTGACAATTAGTACCAGTACTTTCTAAGGGAGGAAGTGAACTTAACCTCTCCCCACCACATCCTTCTCTCTGTGAAGCAGGAATAGTGGTAAAGCTTACTTGAAACGCTCATTCTGAGCATGAAATGAGATTCCACGTATAAAGCACTTTCTTTGGTACCCAGCTCAGAGTATGTACCTAATAAACATAAGTCATTACTACTAGTAAGACAATTAAAAATCAAGAGCTGAGTTAGAAGTCATTAGAAAATTAAACTTACAGAATCATGGAATCTGATTTGTTCTATAAATTACCTATCTCAACTCCCATTTTACAGAATGAAACTTCCCCATTAAAAAGAAACACTAGAGGTTTCAATACCACACCACTACTTCCTTGTCCCCAGTGTGCTCTGTTTTGACAAGACAGGCTGCGTGTCACAGATGCACCGTCCGGCGCGTCCTTAGCCTCTCAATTTTACTTCGGTCGGTGACGTGCACGGGACGTGAGTCCCCAAGAGCAGAAAACCAGCAGCGAGCGTTCGCTCTAGGCTGATACGGAACAGAAGTCCACTCGCCTCTCCGTCTTCCCGGGCCGGACTCGGTGCATCCGCCGGCACATTCTCCTGGTCGTCGGTTTTCGTCTTCTTACTACATTCCTTGAAAAGACACGGGAACGTCCTTAAGGAAAGGCCTTTAACCCGGCCGGCCAGCCTCGCGTCCGCAAGTCGCTTCCGCGGACGGGTCTCTCCGT